TTGTTTTTAACTATGTTTGGATGATGCTTAATTTACAAGATCATTGCCATGAAGTTAGTTTCTTGCTACTCCCAAACTCAGTGATGAAGCTGAATTTGTTAGTGATGCTTTTTGGTGATTTTTCATTTGATTGGATTTGTTTAGGAGCCACTCCCAAGTCAGTGCTGGAGCTGATGGATGTGAAGGATCTCACCTTGGCACATGTCAAGTCTCACTTGCAGGTACTCTCTTTTTTATTTTCATTCAAAGCACACGTCCTTGTTTCTACCAGCTATCTATCCTGTTCTATATGCTCCACATTTTCAGTTTTTGTCAGAATGAAAAACAAAATGCTTGACAGTGTAGCTAGCTAGCTGGATGAGAAGATAGATGCATGAGAAGCTAGCTAGCTAGCTAGCTAGCTAACTGTTTCCTGCCTGGAGGACCAAGATTTATCATTATTAGTACTAGTATCATCGTATGAGCAGATAATTCTTCAATAAAGAACATATGAGCAGAGGAAAAACAACAGTGGTAGTAGTACTAGCTAGCTAGCTGGGGCGCTGATCTAGCTAGCTTCTGCATGCATTGCATTCCTCCGAATTTTGGGTGGAGTGGACTAGACATGCATTTACTAATGGAGCAGCTTTTGCAAACCTGGCTTTTGCAACCGAAAGAAAAAAAGCTGCTGAGCATGTGTGTGTTCATGTGTGCACTGTTTCTGATGCAGTGAAGCAGCAGCAGTAGTAGTAGTAACTGATTTCTGTGACTGACTGACTGATGCATGCATGCACTGTTCCTAACCAGCTAGAAGAAATCAATGCAAGTTTTCCCTTTTGTAACAGGACACCAAGTACATTGTGGAACAATTGTTGGATTGGACCTCCTGGTACTCTGAATGCACTATGAAATGGTGACTGTATATACTGTATCAGCTTAGAAATAATAGTTATGGTAAATTAATGCATGTCGGACGTACTAATTATGTACTATTATCACCAATCATTGCTATTATAATACAGTTAACAATGATTTATGGCTGGTAGGGGTACTTTTGCACACATATGAACAAGTTTTTGTTGCGGTTACTGATATAGTTGCATATCATCATCATGTCTTCGCAGATGTATCGCACGATAAAGAGTACCGACAAATCCATGACTTCACCAGGTATAATATATATGGTTCCTAGAACTCGATCGAGCGCCTGTGCCTAGTGCTGCAGTTATATTTTTATTCGAGTATTTGTTATAAAATATGGGCGCTGAAATTCAAATCTGTATTTAGGACAAAATGAAGGATTCGATAACGGATCAGCGGGTGAGATCTCCGACGAGAGCTTGCCGGAGGCCCTAAACACCCACAGGGGTACTGACCAAAATGGAACGAGCGCAAATTCTCACAGCGGCAGTAGTTACAATGGTGGTCTGTGGAGCAACTCCTCAAGGTACGTTAATTTTCCTTGATTAAATATGCCCCAACATTTCAGCTAGCTTATGCATGCACCTTCCTTATTTAACCAAATAATATGCCCCAACATGAGTATCTAAAATATATATGTACGGGAGGGCACAACTTCTCCTAATACTTGATCTATATACACAGCACAAATGATGGAAAATATATATTGCAAAGTAACAGGAAAGCAGTGAGCACAAGGAACAAAAGACCTTTGTAGGAGTAGACAGCACTGTGGTAGTAGTCATACTGATTGCTGCATGCATGGATATATACATGCACCTGTAGATGACATATAGCAGCACTGCAAACATTTGGATGTTTGCCTGATTCATGTTAATGGCAAGAAAGGCTCCATTTCTGTTTGTTTTAGCCACACAGAGACACAGTGGCAGCATCTCTCTCTCTCTCTCTCTCTCTCTCTCTCTCTCTCTCTCTCTCTCTCTCTCTCCACATGCAAATGTAAGAAGGGCTCTCAGGGAAAAAGTGGGGATAAGAAATTTTGGCATTGTTCGGTTTGTCCAGTATAGGGTGGACATTTGAAACCTCATGATGGTGCAATGATCCCCTTGAGTAGTTTAATGGCTGCAATGAAAAGTTGGTCCTCTCCGCTGTGCATTTTGCATGGACACATACATATGCAGTACACATGTACCAAGGGAGAGCAGGCAGGCCCACTTGTCCGGAAAAATCTAAGATGACAAAGTGTACTGGGTACCTACTGAAAATTTACTAGTGCCTCCTTTAGCTCTGCATGAAAAGCCACCCCCCAAAAAATAGTATAAATATATACTTGTTTTGAAAAAGTAAAAAGAGGGTCCAAACAAAGGACAAAGTTTGGGGCTTCTTTGGAGTTGCTCAAGAAGCATACTATTGGCTAGATAATCTTTTTTAAAACATCATCTCGATGTGTGCACCCCAATGTTCAGTGGTCAACAAATTAATTAAGCATCTTATATATTTCCCAATGCATTGGGGCCCCAGCTATATATCTGGTGAGTTAGCATATAATTTACATATACTACAAAAAATACCATGTTTTAGTGTTTATTTATCGATTAATGTACTGTACATTATGTGCAGTAGTAATTGTGCCGTGTGGCATAATTGTGACTAAATACTTTTCTAATTTTTTGCTTAATTTCTCTTTGTTTGTGGCTTCGCAGCAGGGTAGGATGGCCTGGTTTCGGCACAAATGGCACTGAAAATAGAGGACAGTGTCACAAGGTAACACATATCAAGCAACACGTATATAGTATTCTATTTCTACATATACAAGGGCCAGCTATAATTCTATTGACATTTGCATTTGCAGGAAGCTGATGCATCAAAGAGCCTTGAGATGTCAGGGGAGATGAACGTGTCATGCATCTCCGATCAAACATCGAGTCCGCCGGTGCCGAACCTCGAGTTCACACTAGGGAGGACACACCATTAAGTAACTAGTTGAATAACAGATTTCTAGCTAGACTAATTAATTGATCCGGTGTACTCAGCAACGATAGCTAGATCGAGGTAAAGAGAAAGATGGATGCAACATTCTGATCAAGGCCAAAGGTGATGAGATAGAAAGTGATACCCAGTCTCCCCTCCATTATGTGTGTGTGTGTTGGGAAGAGAGAGAGAGGGATCTAGCTTGCTAGAGAGAGAGAGAGAGAGAGAGAGAGAGAGAAGAGTGATAGTGAAGTATCTGATCTTGTTCTCCATGAATGGTATGCTTTATGTATAAAGTGGTCTTATGTTGTTTATTTAAAGTTTGTGCATGGGGAGAGATCTAGAGAGAGAGGGGGGCTGTTCATCCATCTTTTTTACTGCCAAATAAAGCTGGAAAAGGAAAAAAGAAGACGAGATTCATCCACGTGCAAGTCACTAAATAACTAAAGCCCAAAAGCGAAAAAGGGAGAAAAGTTCGGATGAGATCTGGACGTACATACAGTGCCTGGTTTTCATGGAATTAATCGGTAACCGTGTCCTGCAAAGAAAGTTCACATCAAAGAAAGGAAAGCCAAAAAAGAAGAGGTCGATGGCTCAATTTGCCTTTGCATCTCTTGTGCAGTGTGTAGCTGTTGTACTAGCATTGGTTGAATCTGCACACGCGAACGAGTGTATTATTTTCCAAGAAAATAGGGCAGGATTAATTGCTTTACTTCCCTAATTTATTTTGCATCGATTTTCTTTGGAGTAAAATGTCTTGAGGTGAAAATACATAAGCGGTCTATTTGAGCAAACACCGTCACATTTATACCCTGACATAATTAATACCACGATGGTGGCATTGCAGAGATAGAATAAATTCCTCTAGCCTCCTCCCAGTTCCGACGTGTTCGCTCCATGAATGGCCTGTGAGGGTGTGGTCTAGTGGATCTAGGCAGCCATATCTATTGTGCGATGTGTCGGGAGTTTATTTGTGTCCAACGCTTGGCATGTACGGACGGTGGTGGTGACACTAGCTCGAATGATCTTCTTCCAGTGACTTATTGGTTTCACAAGGTTTGCCATCGGTCGGCAGAGGTATGCGGACGTTTTGGCAGCACTGAGTCTTGCTGAGGATGACCTTCATGTTTCTTGGTGTGCAAGATGGTTGGCACATGGCAACAAGTTTCCTTTGGTCGGCGGAGGTATGCCAGAAGTTTTGGCAGCACCAATTGTCTCATTGAGGATGGACTTCTCATATTGCTCTGTGTGCAAGATGGTTGACGCCAAGTCAAAGGGCCGACAAGCTTGGGGTGCATTGTCGTTAATGTCAACATTTAATCGGTATTGTCTTTGTCCCGCGTATAGGACTAGGCTTCAACCGCGGTATTCAAAAGCCATTAGGCCGTTGAAGTTTTTTAAGTGCTTGTGGTGTTTGTTGGTTGTTTTCATATATTTGTTTTGCAGCGTTCACTACTCTTATCCTTGCAATTGTTTCCTTCCCATGAATCAGATCTAAGATGTGTCGATATGTTTCCTCTACAAAAACAAAAGTTATATACCTCTATTAAAAATATGGAGACTCGTTAATTTTCATTAACCACCTTAATTTGTCTTCCCATCGCCTTCATTTTTGTCATCCTAATCATCCTCCTTTTTTCCTTAATGTTGCACCCAATCATCATCATATAAGATCTTAACAGTGAGAAAACATGCATGGATGTCAAGCTAGTTCAAGTAGGGTCTACTCACCAGTTATACCCTACACAACTAAACATCATCATACACTCACAATCTATACCGGCATGGAGAAAAAGGGAACACACAAACATGCATGCATGCACCCACACCCTTGATAGGTAAGTTATATAGGAAAGGTGGAAAAGATACACCGTTTGTGCCATGACGCCTAGGCCATGTGGTAGAGCCGGCAGAAAGACAGCAATGAGTAGTGGGAAGGGTCAAACCTAGACGGCTAAGAAAAGCAGAGAAAGCAAAGCAAATGTGGATGGGGTTTTCACTTGGAAATATGGAGCAGTAGTAGTAGACTAGTACTAGTGTGGAGGTGAAAAGGATGGAAAGCCCCTTGTTATTAGCAGCAGCTAGCTAGACCCAGGTGACAGCAGCTGAGTGATAAAAGGGAGAGGCCCCCTTTGCTTTCCCTCACTGATCATGGGAGCTTTCAATTGAATCACTGCTGTGCCTCGCCCGTTTCAGCTTTAAAGCTGGTGTGTGTGTGTGTGTGTGTGTGTGTGTGTGTGTGTGTGTGTGCAGATGCAGATGCAGTTGGGACCTCTACCATCTGTCTGCGTCTGACATTGACCCAACCACACACACACAGGCAAGAGAGTGTGCGAGGCGTCTGTAAGACTGTGCGCTCACTCACCTGCTCAATTATATGAGAATGATTACCATATGATGGACTGACTCATCATGTCATGGTGGCCTGCACTGCATGGCTGCATCTGCATGCATGGTGTGCATGGGCAGACGGGCTATGGATGGATTGGAGAGATCGAGCTGACCTATCTCTAGGCAATACTACTATTTATTCTCTTTTCCCTCCTCACCCCCCCTCCTTCTCAGCATGTCTGTTGGGTTGGTTGCATGTGTGGACCTATGCATGCATGGGAGGACGCTTGACTGTAGCCTCTGCAGAATATATGTATGTGTGCGTGTGTGTGTGTGGTGCTCAGCTCACTTATCTCACCAGTCAGTCATCACTGAAATGAGAGAAGGAAAAGCATGAACAGTAGCGGTCCAGTGTGTGTGTGTGCATGTGTTGGAAAAGTGAGGTGACGCCTCTTTTCTCTGATCCTTTGATTTCGCCATCCTGAGTTCCTCCTGGCAGCAATGTGTGCATCATCTTTTGTCTGTGGACGGTGAATAGGAACAAAAACTTCGGCCGCATCATCTTCAGATGCGTCGTGCAAGTTCATATCCATACACTACAAGCTGCCGCTCTGACTACGAAGTGACTAACGAGCATTTTGCGATGATCCATGTGTGAGATATAAGATGGTGCGGTGGTTCGAATTTTACGAGCTAGACTAGATCATACCATTGATATTGCACCGTGAATCTTGTATAACCTAGCTATCGTTTACTAAAACTAGTTGCTATACTCACACAAAAATAAACCCTTTTTGATATTGCAATCTCTATTATTAAAGGGGAACCTGTTGTCGTCGTCGTGATGGTTCAACCAGCATCCACACCGCCTCGTGAGATCCATGCAAAGAAAAAAATGGCGAAAATACTGAAACTTACGGTTGTTAACTCAGGCATATGTCGGCACATGATAGGTCTTGGCCTTTTTTTCGACAAAAGGTGAATTTGGCTCAGAATGAAGCATCAAGAGGATACAAAACATGATGAGCACACACCCGGCCTCTGCATAGCTATGATGCACACAGCCGAGGTCTTGGTCTATTCAGTATAGGGGATGTAGTTTTTTTTATATAGGGCATTTTCATTCAAATGTAATATCGAACAGATACAACTGCAATGAGTCAATATCCGGCATCTACATGACAAGATGTACACAACCAATAAGTCAAAAAAAGCATAGGAGACATTGTTTTACAGGAATAACAAAGCAAGAGTTATGTGGGACGTAGAAGGTCATATCCGAAGACTACGCCAACATCCATGATGGGAGAAAAATTCATTGGTTATATGCTCCAACCGGCCGGTAAAATGTCATCGTAAGATGCCCCTTGTCCTCTAGCCTTTACAAGATAGACCAAGTACAAAGTACTGCATACATGCATGAATAACCTGTACATGAGATGAAACCACATCGTTCTTGGAAAGCCATAAAGCCCATCATTAGGTCGCCATCCCCACGAGGATATGTAAAGAAAGTTTCATATCAACCCCCACAACCAGCTACCAAAATATTACACATATTATGTGAGGGGAGAAGTTAGAAGCTACATGAACAATAGACCACAGTGCACAAGCAAACTTGCACTCAGAAAATAGGTGTTTTGCTTTACTTGTTATAGCAGAATTAACAGAATGCATACTATCGTGCCAATTTCAACTTGTGTAAGATTGTCTCTAGTCAAAACCACTATGGGGTGGAGTTGCAGACAACTCCATGAAAATTCTTTAAGAGAAGTCCACCATGGGTGGCTTTATTGAACTTAATCGGCAATTACTCGTCCACTAGTATATCTAATTATGGTCTTTTTTTGGAGTGGGATCTAACTATAGTCTTGATTTATAATTACATCAAAAAAGGGAAAAAAAGAATTGGCAGCTCATAAGCATATCCTTTGCGTGGCTATCACCATGTGATGAAATATATACATACGAGCACAAAACCGTCACAAAAGCGCAGAAAGCCATCTCACACTAGTGCAGAACCGAGCAATAGCACCGGTTCGTAAGGCCCTTTAGTGCCGGTTCCATAACCCGCACTAAAGTGTGGGCACTAAAGCCCCCCCCCCCCCTTAGTACCGGTTTAGCACGAACCGGTGGTAAAGGGCAACCACGTGGCACGAGCCAGCTCCGGGGGGCTGGAGCCCTTTAGTACCGGTTGGTAATACCAACCGGTACTATAAGGTTTGGGGTTTTTTTAGTTTTATGATTTCTTTTTCATTTAATTTTGTGTTTCCATTTTAATTCTTTTTCGTTTGCTGG